TTTTTAGCCAAATATGTATATATGTAATAGTAATAAGAAATTATTTCAAAGCACGTTACTAAAGTGGGTAGTCTAGATGCTTATTAGCAGCCCTTTCAGTTTCCTTTTATGTGTTTATTCCCTTTGGTCAATTTGCTTAGGCATTGTGTGGGATCATCCTTAAGGAGAAAGGTGGGAAATAGCAAAGCAAAGCAAAGTGTGCTGTTTATATACCACCCCATAGTGCTTCAAGCACTCTCTGGATGGTTTAGAAGTAATAAATAAATAAATAAATAAGCATTCGTTCATTCTACATATAATCATGTACTTAAAAATGCTGCACTGGCTAACAGTAATGCTAAAACGACTGTAGAATAATGAAATATGACAAACAAATTGGTAACAGCAAATAAGCAATAGCTCAGTCAGCAGAGGTAACAGACTGTAGCACAGTGAACCACTTAAAGGTAGTTGGGTAAAAAGGCAAGTCCCAGCCTGGTGCCAAAGTGTCAATACATTTGACACTGGATATATGCCTTGGGGGAAGGTATTCCAGTTCTGGAATGCCAGCATAGGGAAGTTTTTTCCTCTTGTCACCAACAGTATTTTAATTTTTTTGCTTTAAATTGTTTTAAAGATCTTATGTCTTAGAATTGTTTTATATAAGTCTGTAACCCACACCCTGAGATCCTGTGATAAAGGGCAGATTGTAAATATTTTAAATAAATAAAATAAATCACAACACTGGTATAAACGCCAAGGTGCATTACAGAAAAAGTCATATCGATTTAGGACTAACGTCTGTCTTGTCACAACTTAACCTATGTTGTTATACGTTGTGGTCATCCAGCACTATCAAGATACAGAACAGCACTGAAACTAGTTTGGCAAACAACCAATTAAAATACTAGCACACTTACAGCAGGACACACATTCTAGAACTCAAGGGAAATCACTGACATTTTGAATTACCATTAGCTTTTGCCATGAAATGATTAATTTTCATCAATAACTTTGATACAATCAGTTGGAGAGAGTTTCTAGCCACCACTAATATCAAGAATTCATTGTGTCCATCACAGACACAATGATTAAAGGTTGCACCATTCAAACCTTGAACGAAACGTTACTGTTTAATTTCCATAATCATTAGAATTACTCTGAAATAAACTTTAGAGTGGAAAGAAGTGTAAAACTGACTTGCCCAGCTATATTTTACATTCCTCAACTGTACAAAACCCTAATTTCTATGCAAATAGACTACATTGTTGTATATTATACAGAAATTGAGAGGAGCTGGATTTGACAAAGAATAAGCAGGAGATAAGAAACCATTTTGAGTGCAATCCTGGGAACAAATGTCACATTGTTATGAACAAAGACTAAACCATTTAAGGTGTGTCAGAGTTTAATCTGAAGTTTGTTGATAGTCACGAAGAAAATATTCTTGAAAAATATCTTCCATGAAAAATGGAAAAATATGTGAAAGAGTGAAATGTACCAAGCAGCACACTAAACCATCAGAATTTCTTATTGTGGAAAATTGATAGTTGCCATCAAAACCGGTCCAACACATTTTAAGATTTGAAACAGAGCAGCAAATATGCTCCAAAGTCACAGTATCTATATTACCTAAATCATCTTGGAAAACAAGACAGAAAATCTCCCAACCACACATATTCTTCTTCTTCTTTGGCAGTAGAAATAGAATTATAATTCCAACAATTACCTGCCTAGGCAGAAGGAAGCTCAGCATAGTTCAAATCAGGTAAAGAACATGGTTGTTGTAGGTTTCTCGGGCTGTTTGGATGTGTTCTGAAGGTTTTTCTTCCTAACGTTTTGCCAGTCTCTTTGGCTGGCATCTTCAAAGGACAGAAGTTAGAACTCTGTCTGTGTTCTGGTGTAGTGATAGTTGAGTATCTACTGAGCTAGCTGTGGGATCAGCTTTTTGTCCTTTTCAGGAGATTGGGTGATTATGGTGATCAGAGTGTTTTTTTTATGGGTGTATTGTTGTGATAACAGGGGGACATGATCTGTCACTGTAATTGACGGGTGTTGTTAGCTAGTCTTTTGTGTGCAGTGATCACCTGTCCTTGTGGCTGAGTAGAGTTCGTTGACCCTTTGCAAGCTGTATTTTTCAGTGCTGGGAGCCAGGCTTTGTTGAGTTTTAAACTTTCTTCTCTTTTTGCTGAAGGTCAGCTGGTGTTTGTAGATTTGCTCATGTTGTCCAGTACTGTATTTCTGTGTTTTGAAATAGGATTTCGTGTCTAGCTTGTTTCAGGGCATGTTCAGCTACTGCCGATTTTTCTGGTTGTTTTAGTCTGCAGTGTCTCTCATGTTCTTTAATTCTGGCGTGGATGCTGTGTTTTGTGGTCCCAGAACAGTCTGGGAAAACCTAGGATGTCCTTCTCTATCTGTATCCCTCTCCATATAAAAACTTGCATCTTTTTCAGTATAAGCTTCAATGTATCTGGTTACTTCCAATAAACCTGATAGTCAAGATCTACCTGGGGAAAAGCTGTAGCCAAGTAAAATATTACGTTCTCTATGCAAAAGGCTCCTTGGAAAATCTGTTTTCTCCAAGGAAGGTTGGGAAAGACTGATAGTGATCTACATGCAGATGGTTCAATAGTCTGAGACAGTAGAAAGTAGCTTTCTCTGCTGTTGTATTTATGACACACAACAATGAAATTAAAGCTATGCTAATATTTAATTAGTTTTTAAGATCCTGCTGACCTAAAATGTTCAATTGAAGCTTCCCACACCCCTGCCAACATTCTGGGGGAAGAGGATGACCCTTCCCAGGACGATACTAATTGTTTCTTTTTTTGGAAAGGGACATAATTCAGAAATTTTACAGGAATGTGTGGGTTAGTTTTTTATACGAGATAGATCACCATTTCAAACATTTCCATTTTATTTGGTCCTGAATGTCCTACAGAAATTATGCTATATCATGAACCAATATGATTTCCAAGAGCACTTTTGTAGGCTAGAGAGAGAGAGAGATGGCATTCTTTCAGGACATCCCTGCTATCAAAGAGCGCTGTGATTAAAACTAACCAATTGTATCTTTGAACTTTTCTTAAAAGCTATCATTAAAAATGTTTTCATGTTTTTAGGTGGTCTTGCTTAGCTGTGAGAATAAGTAGTCTAGTGAAAATGGATGCATAACTATCTATTTTCAGGAATGGCAGATTATTAGATTGATCTAATCAAATCCGACTGTTCCAAAGAGGCCCATACTAGTTCACTTCCTGCAGCTAATGTAGTCGTACACTCTCTTTTCTTCTTTACCTCCCCCTCTCTATTTATATATATTTGTAAAACAAAACAAAAATATTTTGCTAAATTCATTAATGGCACTTTTTGAGTTCCCTGTGAGTGAAGCAGCAGTAAGTGCAAAAGAAAAATTTCTATATTTGGCAGAAGTAGTTGTAAAAAAGTGGCGTACAAAAAAGTATGAAATATTCATGAAATACTAATATTGCTTAAGAGGTGTACTACATTAAAGATTGATAGATTTATTATAGTATGAGCTTTCGTGTATTGCAATCTACCTCCTCAGACACATGGAACATAATACTGGCACTATAAGCTTATATATACAGAGAATAATAGAACAGTTGAGTTAGAAGGGGTCTATAAGGCCATCAAGTCGAACCCCCTGTTTAATGAAGAAATTCAAATCAAAGTATATGTGGGCTCACCACCTCCTGAAGTAATTAGTTCCATTGCTGTAGTGCTCTTACAGTTAGGAGGTTTTTCCTGATATTCAACCAAAATATGGCTTCCTGTAACTTGAGTTGATTATTATATGTCCTACACTCTGGGATGATTGAGAACAGATCCTGCCCCTCCTCTTTATGACAACCTTTTAAGTATTTGAAGTATGCTGTCAAATCATCCCTCTGTCTTCTTTTCTCAAGGCTAAACATGCCCACTACTTTCAGTAATTCCTCATAGGACTTGGCTTCCAGTTCCCTTATTATCCTTGTTGCCATCCTCTGAACTTGTTCCAGTATGTAGGTATCATTCTTAAAGTGTGGTGTCTGGAACTGGACACAGTACTCTGGATGAGACCTAACCAATGCTGAATAGAGAGGAGCTAGTACTTCATGAGATTTTGAGACTGTACTTCTGTTGTTGTTGTTTAGTTGTTTAGTCGTGTCCAACTCTTCATGACCCCATGGACCAAAGCACACCAGGCCCTCCTATCTTCCACTGCCTCCTCTGCATCTTTTAATTTCATGGCTGCTGTCACCATCTGCAGTGATCATAGAGCCCAGGAAAGTAAAATCTACCACTGCCTCCATATCTTCCCCTCCTATTTGCCAAGAGGTGCTGGGTCCAGTGGCCATGATTTTAATATTTTTTTCGATGTTGAGCTTCAGATCATTTTTTGCACTCTCGTCTTTCACCCTCATTACAAGGTTCTTTAATTCCTCCTCACTTCTGTTAATGGATCCTAAATTAGCATTTGCCTTTTTTTGTAGCCGCATCATTTTGTTGGCTCATATTCAGCTTGTGGTCTACCAGAATTCCAAGATCCTTCTTATTTGTAGTATTTGCTGAGCTATGTATCCCTGTTAATTTTTATTCTGTTGTTTTCAGAGTCCATTAAGATCTTTTGGGAGTTTTGTTTCTGTCTTTCAGGGTATCAGCTGTTTCACTCAATTTTGTGTCATCTGCAAATTTGATAAGCATGCCTTGCACCCCTTCACCTATTAACAAAAATGTTGAAGTGCACAGAGCCTAAGACTGAGCCTGTGGGGGCTGTGTCCAGTAAAGTACCCCCCTTGCAGATCAGGCGTTAAGAGGGAAGTGACTCCTCTAGGCACCCCCAAAAAGCTACTTCAGAAGGCTTGAAAACTCTTTTCAGTACATTTTCAGGAACAGAAAGAGCTATAGGGGAAAGCCAGATAGTTGGGATGCTGTTGGGCATCAGATTTATAATTTATAATAAGCAACTTGGGGAAAAAACCCTTTATGCTGATGAAATCCATTTACTTTCTTTCTAGTGAACAAACACAAGCCATGGATTGAAACATCTTATCATGGAGTTATTACTGAAAACAATGACATAGTCATTTTGGATCCTCCACTGGTTGCTTTGGATAAAGATGCTCCTGTTCCTTATGCAGGTAGGAAAATAATGCAACACATACTCTCTGATTATATTGAGCAATTTAATATTAAATTTATCCAGTTGGTTGTATAAAGTATGTATATATTATGTCAGTAGTATGTAAAAATGCAGTGCTTCAATATTATATTTGCAGAACTATCTTATTTGAAATATGGGTCTATTTACCTTGAAATGAGATGTATTCCTGAATTGCTGTGCATTCATTATAAAGACAAAAAAGAGACTATAAGCAATGTAGTTTGTGATTCAGTAAGATTGATTTGTTTGTTTGGTTAGTTTATTGTTTGTTTGTGGAACTATCTGATCAAATATAAAATGTGAGTTTGTTAAGTAAATTATCAATTATGATTGCCTAGACTTTAATTTGTTTCTAGTCAGTTGGTGAGCTACATGAGGAATTCTTTACAGTCACTTACATCACATTTAATTGTGTTTTAAGATTTGTTTTAATTGGCTGAATCAAGACAGGAAATGTTCATGGATACCTGGTAAAATGGATTATTATAGACATCTGTTGTCAGAAAGGTTTTACAATTTTAATCTATGCTATCATAGGATTATTCAGGGCAATTAATCAGAAAATAATTTTTTTAAGTGTAGGCATGTGTTCTGCTTGTTTTTTAATAATAAAAATATGTCAAAATGTAGGATAAAATATATTCTGAAATTAACAGTTAGATCAATGCTGCATCTAATAAATGTATAAATATTACATATAAGTTGTCTTTAGAATCTGTTCTGCCTCCAATTATATGACAACTTTCTAAGATGCATTTCTAATAGCACTGTTTACAAAATACGTTCTCTTATCAGCCTAAAATCAATATCATAATGGTGTATGCTGCCAGCATAATGCATCTTGCTGCTAGCTAATGAGTCACTATTTATATTTCTTGTCATTCAGAAGTTGCATGACTTGGTGCACAGCAGGGAATACCAGTGGTGACTCATTAATTAGTAGCAATTAACTGCTGCAGTTTGATCTGTTGCACTTGAAACAATGTCAATAACAGATAGAACTCTGGCCTGCAATTTTGAAAAACTCCATCATTAATCTGTAAGGATTTTCAGTCCATCAACTATATGGAGTGTCTACTTCAGGGGTGAAAATTTTAAGTAATAGAAATGTCTTGAAGGTGAACATGCATTATGCACCCCGACTATAGTTACACTACAGCAGGCACATTAAATCAGTGGTGAGTTAATTTCTCCAAAAGTTCCATTGATTAAAATGGGCCTATTCATGTTGCAACTTTAGTGTAGTAAATTAGAACTGGAGTAGGCCCATTTGAATCTGTGTAAATTACTGAAGAGTTGTCTTACCAAAAATCCAATTATTTAATGGACCTACTTACTAAGCAACATAATTTTAACCTTTATGTATATTTCTACATGGTCTAGCAAGTACATTTTTAGAACCTTTAAAAGAGAAGATGTTCTCTTTTAGAGAAGATATTCTCATAGAAGATATTCATAGTTTCAGCCATCACTGCCTGCAGTCCAGTTTTATCCCATTTTATTTCTCATTTGAGTTTTTCCTTTTTCCTTTTCTTTTCATTGATTTGCTTCTGGAATCTCTAATGGCTAAATACGGCATCACTGTCTTGTTTTTGTGTTTTTTGTCTTCATTTAATTGATGAGACCACTTAACCTCAATTGCTGTATCTCCGATCTGTTCTAAATTTTATCATCCCTTTTATTGATTCTCTGCTGAATATCATAATATAGTATAAGAGAAAAATTATAAACATCTCTCCAGTGTGAATAAATGAACCACATCTGTTTTTGTAGTGATTTGCTCATAGCACCTTTTTAAATGGTTATAGAAAGTTGCTATTCTCTCTATATAAGAAGCATGGATACCCATTTTTGTACCCAATATCTCTCCCTGCCTTTCTGCACTACAGTTTCTGGTTCATGAGGATTTGCAGCATTAAGGGAAAACACTCTAGGACCAATCAATATGACCTGTGGGACTTTTGGGGTGGACCTGGGAAGGATAGTTCTTTCTCCAGTCTACCCTGAAGCTTTTATGAATGTCCCTCCCTATGGCAAAAGGCCATAGCCCTCACCAAATTTGAACAATGAGCAATGCACATTTTCAATGTACAGTGATGGAAACACAGTAACTGTTACTTAGTGCCCTAAGCTACTAAAAATATCAGCATCACATCATTACCTGTGTCTTTGTGGTCAATCAGCCTGTTCTTTTGTGCTTGTTACATGTATCACAAAATGAGAAAATAGTAATTTTGTAAAAAAAAATCCACAGACTACAAGAGACAAGATGGAGGGAGACACATGTTTGGTCTCTTTGTCTTTTTTCTAGAACAAAAATATCTTGGCAGGTAAAAGATGTCCAAACAGCCTATTTTGGGGTGGAAGGGGTGGGGTGAGAGTCTTTGCAACAAAGAAATGTTTTCTTCATGTTCCTAAAAGTACAATGAATCTTGTATCATCTGTCCTGACTCTATTATTAATTCATTTCTTTTGAAATTCCAATGTTGCATAAGAGGAAAAAATGTTTCTTTCTGACCATTGTGTCTGTGCAATAAATAATGGTGTACTTCGTATGATACAGTAGTACAATATTATACCATAGTGAGACTCACATTGACAGCTTTTTTGAAATAGTCTTTTCAAAATGTTTGCTTCTCTAAATTTGTGTGTACAGTAGGACCCCTTTATCTATGGTATCAGTATTCAATAATTCACTAATTGTAAATATTAAAAAAATCAAAATAAAAGAAATATTAAAAAAAAATTAAAAGAAAATTCCCAAAACCAATCCCCTGCAGATATGGGAATGCTACTGTATATTTGTTTAAAATGCACAAACCTGGAACATTTTTCCGAAATAAAATATGAAATGCCTCTATACCTTTGCAATAGTTTCTGTAATGCCTTTCTATTATTTGTTTGATATCTCCAAAATCTTCCTGGACATGCAGGTGAAAATCATGACAACTTGTAATTTACATACATGTGCTGAGTAAAATATCAAAATGTAAACTATCATAATAGGCATGCTATTTTGTTTTACTATTTTTGTATAAATAAGGCAGGTTGATAGTTTGAGCAGTGTGCTACTTGAAAATGTTGACTCAATTGGTTAGCTGATTTATTAATAAAAGGATATACCATAGTGTATGGTTTACTTTGTGGTAAGAATCAGAGATGGGGATGATTCACCATTTGGCGAGTCGTCCTGCTTCATTGGTCATCAACAGTTGATGACTCATGAAGCACAAAGTGGCCCCTTGAAATGATGAATAACGGATATCTTAAACAATTTGTGAGGGGTTTATTTTAAAAAGCACCCTGCCCTCCCTGCTGCCACCGCCACCCGTCTGCTGCCACCATCCCCCACTGCTGCACCACTGCCCTTAACCTGCCTTAGGGGAATGCAGGCTGCCTCTGCAAAGATGGTATCTGCAACTTCCCTACCCTAAATGAAGCCACACCCACCATCTTTGCAAAGGGCAGCCAGTTTCCCTTTTTACACGCCGTGGCTGTGGAGGCCTGATGGCAGTGACAATTATGGTAGGGGGGTGTCAGTGGGGGGGCTAAGATAGGGAGAGGAAGGGGTTGGGTGGCTGCCTATCGGCCCGCTGATCAGCTGATCAGCATCCGGTAGGCAGAATGTTTTTATTATTAGTATTATTATGAAGGAACGAATAAAATGGGGGAATATTCATCCCTTCATATTCGTAAGGGTCTCTGGAACCCACAGATATGAAGGGATGAATATTGAACAGATCAGCGATTTTCCACGAATATCATGACCCATTTTTTTATTCATCCCCATGTCTAGTAAGAATCAGTGAAATACAGAAATCAGGACTCATACTAGAATTCCACAACTTCTATTGTTCAGCAAATAAACTGCATCAAATAGCACTAATAGTCTAAACTTCAGTACTGTAATAAATAAAGGTACCATAGAAACATGATCATAGATTTCTTAGAATTCCAGCAAAGTAATTGTCAACACATGGCAAAAGACACTTCAACAGATACTGTTGCAATAGATATTAATTGATTCACTTCATGAGATAAAATTGTGGGATTGCTGCCAATATTAGTAACACTGGTAAAGTAGCTTAAATAAAGTCTTCTGCAGTTATTTTAAGGCAGTTGTTACGGGGTTTTCTAATGAACCTGCAGACTTATAATAGGGATGCAGAACATTTACCATATTTTTCCGTATATAAGATGCCGCCATGTATAAGACACCCCCACTTTTCTAACCCAAAATTAAGAAATCTAAGTGCCTTTCCTTTTTCCTGCCTTCCCATGAGTCCAGAGTGACAGCTCTGACCATGCTCTTGAGGTGCTGTGAGGCTGGTTATGCCGCTGTCACATATTTGTTGATGAAAACATCACAGCTGACTGAGGGGTCCACAAAACCTACCCCCATGATCTTTCCAATTTCAAATTATAGTCAATATGTTGCATTAAATGCAATATTTGTGCTAGTTTTTTTCCTAAGTCTAAAGCCACCTTTTATGGATTGAGGAGTTGTTCCACCACTTCAGTTAGATGGCTCTCTCTGTGCATTTCTTCAGTACAAAATGTATCACAATCATGGGTCTGGCAAAACTTACGCAGTAGTTCTTCTTAAGGTTTGGACACTTCTGTAGTAATAGAAGTCATCATTAATTTTGGCCATAACAGGGATCCCTTTGTCATTGATGACCAATTGTGGGCTATTGTCAAAACCAAATCGTCACTTATGCAGTGGCTTTGGTATAATGAATCACCTTATGCTGGTGTTTCTGGAGTGGAAGGATCTGCTGTCAGTGTCCTTCATATACTGTGGGGGATGCCTGAATCTACTTGCATTCTTTGGCAGGGGGACTCTTTCCATGTCCCTCATTTACTAGGATTTAAAAAAGCACAAATAAACAGTGTCAGTTGCAGGCTGTATGTTAAAAATGACACAGAGTTTGGCTCTAATTCAATTGCATATATGAGAACAGTTCTTTGAAGCTG